ACTCCCTCTCTAACTTCCTCTTCTTCCTTTTATTTATACTTAATCTATTTACTGTTATTTGGATTTAAATCTACCATCTTACCATCTCTCCTGTACACTGTGTGTTATCAATTCCTTTTCTTGATTTTACAGATAATTATACAAACAATTCCCTCTTCATTTCACTAGGTAATTACACCCTCTTTTGCTTTTAGTAGTTACCTTAATAATTTCAACATGAATTCTAGTCTCCAGTGTTAATTGGACTTCTTACCTTCTTCCCAAAGAGCACAACAGCCACAAAACATTTTGACTTCAAGAATCCTGTGGTGGTTAATTGTAGGTGTCATCTGACTGGGCCATACCCATTTCTCGTACTGCTCACTGAGATACTTGGTTCAAACAAAGGTTATGACCTGAGTGGACAGAGGATAAAGCATGCCAGACAACACAAGATCCACCGAGTGTTACCCTTTCCCGTAAGATCATCTCCCCAAAGCTTGCCCAGTAGATACACACTCTCCTACCACACAGTGAGCCAAGGCAAGCAGCCCCTCTCCCTTTTACCATCAGATTGCACCCTCGGATTGTCATAGTCATATACACTTCTGGACTCTCAGAGTGGAGGGAGCAGAGATTCACTATGCAGATCCTACTTGCTTATCTACTTTATACTTTTGCTATTTGTTTGCCCCAGTGCAGTTATTAATTTGCCAACACCATAGGAGAAAATCAGTAAGACAAAGCATGTGTATGCCATGGGAGAGGCGTTGGATTTTGACTGGTAAGGTCCCTGCATTGTGGGGACACTACAGCTTCTTCCAAAGAGAGCAGGTCAAGATATAATACGTCAAGTTCAAGCCTTCATATCTCAGTTCCTATTATATGCCTAGGAACAGCACTTCAGCAGGAAGTGTTATACTGAGAGGAGAGAAGGAAAACAGAAGTAACTCTGGTCACTAGGAGTTTCCATTCTGGCTACTGTTTCTGAAGACACACAGTATGATGGCCAGAGCCCCAGTTCTGGGGTTCTATGATCAGAGGATCTCAAAGGTTTCTTCTGGTACAGGAAAAACAGGTAGTTGGAACCAGTTCTTCCCATTGAAAACTATTACATAGGTCAATAATAATACTTCAGTTCTCAAAAGCCATTGCTACTGAGGGCTAGTCTTTGACAGGAAAATAAGCCCAGCTACACAATCCTTCCCAGAAAATATTTCACTTTGAAAGAAGTAATTTATAGTAAAAAGTACACATTCAGTTCACCCATAAAAGTTAGAAAGTACTGGTCCCAAAAAGTAACATTTACCAACTGTTATGGTTTGTGTCTCCCCAAACCCTTATGTAGTCATGGGGCAGCTTCTGGAGTTTGATTAATTATTGTGGGTGTAGATGCTCCACTGGCCCTGGGGCAAGTAATTTACATTACAATGCATGGAGGGGAGAGAGGCTAGCTAGCTGCCTGACTGCTGCCACTCCTTTTACTCTTGCTCTTTGCCACTGCCATGAAAGGTTTTTCTCTGCCATGTGCTGCTCTACCTCGAAGCCAGCTGAGTATGCACTAAAACCTTCAGTAATTTCCTTCCTTCAATTTGGGTGTTGGGTATTTGTCCCAGCAATGAGAGAAAGTAACCAAGACAGAATTTGGTACCAGGAATGTGGCTGTTGCTATGGCTAAACCTGACTGTGGATTCCAAGCTTCTGGGAATGGCTTATGTGAAAAGACAGGAACGGTTCAGGATGTCACTTACAAGAGAAGTGCTGGAACAGCTTTGGATGTTCTGTATGGGAGATTCTGGTCAGAGCTCAGAAGACCAGAAGGCTGATAGAAATCCTGCCTGTAAAGACCAGGCTGGGGAGGTTTCTGCTGGGAAGGGCTGCATTGGTTGTTGGACTTCGGATGATTTGTGTTACAACTTGGCAGAAAATTTGCATTTTGCTTGTGTCCAGAGACTGCCTGAGACTGAGATTAAGCGTAGTAGACTGATTAATCTGGCAAAACATATGTCAAAACAGTCGAATACTGAGGCAGTGGCGCGGCTATTCTTAAGGGCTTTAGGCCAGATTTATGTTGAGAATCAAGAGCAAATTGCCCAGCAGGATGATTTAAAATGTGTTTGGCCAGAAAGAAACTCCAATAAAGCTGTGGAATGCAAAGATAGAGCTGAGAGGATCTCCACCGCCAAGAAGGAACAAGAGAATGAATAGGATGGCCTGAGGGCATCACAGGTGGTGGTAGGTCTCCACCCTTTGCTGCACAGGTCAGGGACTTGCCTTGGGAAAAAGCCACAGAGCCCCATGTTCCAGAATGGCAGTGGCAGCCACACCAGGTTCCAGAATGGTGCCAGCATGGAGAATTTATTCCTCAGAATCAGGGTCAGAGTGCTCAGCCATTCTGGCACTCGACCACTACAGCAAAGAGTGAAGGAAGCCTGGCTACTGCTCCAGCTGGCAGCAGACCTTGGCATCATCCATATGGCATTGGTTTTAGGTGCTTGCAGAATGCAGAAGTTCTGAGGTTAAAAAGGCTTCCACCAGGTTTCAGAAGGCCTGGGAGGCCAGGCAGTGTGCCCCTGAGAGGGCAATGTGTAAAGCTGTGAGTCAGAAGCCTATTTAGTGGAAACCTTTGGAAAAGCCAGAAACATGGATCATCCAAGGGAAACTGCCAGGAGGGAGCAAAACGGCCTAAGAGAGAAGCCATGGAGCTACCACTAAAAGTGCCATAGGGGTGGCGCCATGTAAGGCTTTTGGAACTCACAATTTGCCACAGATTGCTTCAGATGTTCCACATGGAACTACAGGACTTAATGTTTGCCCTGCTGGAATTTGGTCTTGTGTTGGTCCCAATGCTTTGTATTCCCCTGTTGTTTATACCTTTTGGAATGGTAATGTTTATCTTGTGCTATTAAATGTTCGGAGTGTCTAACTTCTCATTTGTACAGGGGCTCACAGCTAAGAGTTCGCTTTTGATCTTGGAGGAGACTTGAGACTTGGACTTTTCAGCAATGCTGAAAGTGTTAGGACTTTGGCAACTCTTAGAGACGGACAAAATACCTTTTGCATAAAGGGATGTGCATAAGTCTTTGGGCGTCTAGGGACAGAATGTTATGGTTTATGTCTAGTTGTCCCCCCAACGCTTCATACAGTCATGGGGTGGCTTCTGGAGTTTGACTGATTTTTGTGGGTGTGGATAATGCACTTGCACTGGGGCTGGTAATTTATATTACAATGTAAGGAGGGGAGAGAGGCTAGCCAGCTGCCTGAGCTGCTGCCACTCCCTTTGCTCTCTGCTCTTTGGTGCCATCTGCTACTCTGCCTTGGAGCCAGCTGAGTATGGGCTCAAACCTCCAGTAACCGTGAGCTAAGTGTAGGCTAAAACCTCCAGTAACTGTGAGATACATAAATCTTTTCTTCCTTCATTTTGGGTGTTGGGTATTTGTCCCGACAATGAGAGTAGAGTAACTGAGACACCAACTAAACTTGGATGTTATTCACTGAATTAAAGAGTTACACTTTAATGTATCTGATATTATTTTTATTTCTCAAATAACAAAAGATAAATAATCCAAAAGTACATTTTATCTTCAGTAAATGCTTAAGCGAGATGAACATTTAAACTTAATACTTGAAAAACTGAGATGTGATATTATATCTGAAGTTTTCAAAAAGTATTTAAAAATCATATATCATTCCAATTTCCTTTATTTTACAGTGCCAAAAAATTTAAAGATGTTTTTGAGTGACACAAGCATGATGTATCAGAATTCCAAAATAAGCAAATAATTTTGATATGACTACAAAATGAAATACTTATGAAATTTAGTGCAGCACTTACTACTTATTTTTAAAATCAATCACTGCTGATGCAACTTCTAAAAGCAATGACCCTACCAGAAAAATAGTAAAGACTGTCTTTTCCTTTTTAAAGTGCTTATTAATGTTATACTCAAAAGCCATGTTTTTTACAAACATAATATTGAAAGGTGTTCAAGTCACCACTTTCAGACTCAAACACCTCATTTTTCTAACTTTTCATGTGTAAACAGGTTTCATCTGCATCAATGAAGATTGCTTTCAATGACCCTCAACTACATGCGTCAAATCAAGACAGCAGTTCGTACTAGCAGCAGGAACAGTGGCAGCAGAATGAACTGCATCACATTTTAAATGGATCACAGCAGATCACAGAAAGTGTAACAGTTTTAGGTATGTCACATACCCAAGGGTGAGATTTCTCTTTCACTCCCGATATACAATAAACATAAAACAAAACCAGAAACAATTCTCCAGTTCCTCTAGCATTTTACAGTCTATGAAGAGATTTAAATTCTCCTTCTATTTAACCAAACTATACAAAGGAGCCTCCATATTCTCCACATTTAAAATAATGCCTATTTCTGCCAAGAAAACAAAAAGAAACAAATGAAATTCTCAACTCTAAAACTCCAAGAAATACAACTGTGAACAATTTTGACACAAAGCATCATTTCAAAAGCTGATACATGCATTCTAAAACAGAAATTGCTCTGTGAGGGTGAAGGTGGGACTTCATTTCAGCCATATGGATACTTAAAGAACTGAGCACACCAAGCAGCACCTCCCCCTACCTGCCAGCGGGAGGGATCACTGGCTCTCACCTCCAACTCGAGCCACTCCACAATCTGCTACTGAGCAGCCCCTTGTGGCTCTATTTTCTGACCCTTAAATTTGTTTATTCCTTTCTTCCTCCTCCAAGAATCTCCAGGTAACCCAAGTGTAACTGTTCATTAAAAAAATCATAATTTAAATATTTTGATATTACATTTGATTTAAAGTAATAAATTATAAATTGCCAAATAATTTAATGTAATTCAAAATGTAAATCCCTGGTACCAAAAGAATTCATTTTGCTCTGAATACAACAAAGCAGTCCAGTGAGTTCAAACTGCTTATGAAATAAGGGCAAAAATAAATTGTAAAATACTATTTATAAAAGTCAAGTAAGAAACCATTTACCATAAACCTTTTTTTTTTCCTTTTTGCAGAACCAGGGATTGAACTCAGGCCCTTGCGCTTGCCAGGGAAGCACTTGTTTTACTGAGCCATCTCCCCGGTCCCAACCATAAATCTTTTTACAAAGATAAATGCAATGCGGCTCACCACTCCTAAAAATTGTTAAGGATATTTATAATTAGTGGTTTCAAAAACAACATTATGGAAACTAGACATTGAGTTATATATTATTGTACATATGACATATTAAATATAACCCTAACAGTAATACTGGAACAAGGAGTAATCGGAATTAATCTTTGGATCTGCTACCATTTAGCAAGTAGATTTCTTTTTCAAAGACTTTGCTATAACATTAATTTTTAAATGTTTAGTCTCAAGTAGTATTAATATTCCACAAAATAAAAGTTTTCCTTGTATATTTTGTTATTGTAACAAATACACTTTAAAATAGATAATCACGTTTGGAAATTAACAAATCCAATTCCTTAAAAAAAAAAAAAAGGTAGAAAGAAAAAGAAAAGTTGAAAATTCTTATTCAACAAGAAATTCTAATTCCTTGCATTTCTTAGTAAGTTGACTTGTCAGATCATTTCTCTTCTTTCTCACCAAGCTGTATCTTTCATCACATAGCCATGTGGTATGTCCAATCTTCATTTTGTAGATTTCAGTTTGAATTTTCTTGAATATTGGCAAAACTGGTACTAGATTTTAGACGTTTGGCTAGATGAGACAAAAATATTATATTTTAAATTTAATTCTCTAACCAACACTATTATTCCTATAAAAATGACAATATTTGTCTAATGTTTGAATCTGAATAGAGCCATGTTTTGTTTTTTTCTTTTTTGAGATAGGGTCTTTCTTTGAAGTACAGGCTGGCCTTGAACTCACTAAGTAGCCCCAGCTGGCCTTGAATTTCAATCCTTCTGTCTCAGCCTTCTGTGTTCTCAGATTACAGGAGTGCATGTGTGCCACCATGCTCAGCTTGAACAGATTTAATCTTAGAAGAAGCAAAACCTAAGCTTTTCCCCTACTAACCTCAAAAAACAAAAAATCACTTTGAAACTACGTATGATAATTTGTTATAAGCAGTACAAATAAAACAAGCACCACATGTTGTCTTAGACATCACAATCTTAAATATATATTGTTGGTGAAAATAAATTACTTAAAAAATAAAAGTACTATAAAGTATAATAAAAAATTACATATTTAGTACTAGGCCCTGCATTCAATCCCTGGTACCAAAAAAGGGACAAAAACATATATTTAAGAGTTTAAGCTAGAATCTAACCCAAATTTTTCTTAGACGGGTTCAGTGAAAACTTTCTCAGTCTGCCAAAAGATATCTACAAAGATTCTACAGCAATCACTATGCTTAATTAAGAACGTCTAAAACATCTTCCCCTAAGATCTTGAACAAGACAAGGATATTTGGACTTATTCAATATCATGCCACAATTTATTGAGTGAAATGTGGCAAGAGAAAGAAAATGAAAGGTATATGTAGGAGAAGAAAGAAAATTGCCTCCATTTTCAGTTGAAAAGAAATTCAGGGGCTGGGACTACAGCTTGGTGGTGGAGCGCATTCTCAGCATGTGTGAGGCTCTGGATTCAACACCTAGCACCCACCTAACTTAATTGATGCAAATGAGGTACACATTACATAAACACATTAGATATAATGGCCATTAATGAAATAAGGTACCATCAGTTTTGGTTATGATGCTAATGGGACTGAGTCATTATGGTTAATAGGAAAAGTCACGGGTATTTGGCTTGGCAGATTTTTTTTATTTTATTTTATTTTATTTATTCCTTTATGATACTAGGGATCAAACTTGGGACCTTGTAGCTTGCTGGGCAAGCACTTGTGCCACTGAGCTATATCCCAAGCCCTGATTAGTATTTTTGTTTCACGTAGTTTTTTTTTTCCATAATTTTATTGAGAGACAAATAGCAATGAGACAGTTTCAAATCAAATTGGTAGGACAGTTTCAGTAATTAACACATTGCATACTCTCTTCCTAGTGGTTATTTGCTGTACAAGATACAGACATGATATCCTATTTACAAACACTATTACAACAAATCCCTCTATTCATTAAGAGAATGTAACTATATATCTATCCTAACCATTTTGAATACACACATACAAAATGGACATTCATCTGTATCCCCTTTTTTTGTTTAGTTCCATCATTTGAATATTATAGGTGTGTTAACTCAGCAAAATATTCTAAGAGTCCAGTAGTCCATAATAGTATTGGGACTTCCGCTTGCCTGGCAGTGTCAGAAACTGTTGACCTGAGTCCCCTACAGCTCAACATAACAGCATGGCTTTACTTCTTATACTTCGTTTTTATACTTTTCTGCTGGATGGTTAAGACCAAGATAAAGCAAGACCTATGCAACAAGAGTTGTAGCTTTTGGGTCTGAGAAGGTCAGTGAAATTCCCTCAGGATTTATCCTGAGATCCTGTACCTCAGACTGTAGAGCCTTTGTCAGTCAGCCATGTGGATGAGTCACAGCCATTGCTTGGCCAATGTGCTCTCTGTGAAAGCCTGAGAGAATGTTTTCTCTCCATGTGACTCTCCTTAGGCACACTCTACATCATCGATCACTTTCCTCTTTGGCCCCATAACCTCCTTGATCAGAAAATTTGGGACACTACTGAGTTACATGACATTACAGTACAAGTTCTCATATGTCCTGAGTCTTAATTGACCTTGGAAGGCTCGGGCCAAAATGTTGGCTTTCCTTGCGGTCCTCCTTTTTCTCTAATTTTGATCTGCAAACTTAGGTTGTTAACCCTCCAGAAGAGAAGCTTATTGTTATTACCATACAACATAGGCTGTTAAGCTTAACCTCACGATTGGCAGATATTTTGTAACACGTCTTGCACTGGATAACTAGGGTCTCCTAACTTCAGAAGCTCCTAACACTGGAATTATTTCAAGGTTATAATTAGGAAGATTTGCAGTGGGCCCCAAGTACCTGTATTAGTTTTAAACTTTATGAATAATTCTGAGACAGAGCCAAAGATGAGAATGACTGCTTTAATTTTTACCAGGGTCTCCTCTGACCACCACTGTACATGCAAAAATGACAACACAACTTTCTGAACATTGCTTCAGCCTAAGCTAATGGGCAGACTTAGCCTGAAAAATGACCTAACACGAAGTCTACTTCTTAAAGCTTCAGGGGATGTGGGAGCCAAACTAAATCAGGAGTTTGTTTTCTATTTATTTAAAATTGCTATAAGTGACCAAACTTCTAATTATCAAATTATTTAATAAACTGAGCAGGTAGCAATATGCACAGGTACATATACCTAAACATTCCTTACCTTTCTGGTCTCTATCTAATTAATCCCTACAGTTTTAAAAAAATTCTATCCCTGGGATCATATGATGCTGAATTCCAAAACCCTTAAAGGAGTCTTGGGTGTGCCTCTACCTCTGCTATAGGCATGTGCTAGACAAGCACTCCACCTCTGAGCTACACTGCCAGGCCTTCACGCTCTAGGCTTTAAATGTGTTGTAAGAGCAATGCTTCTGTGAAACATGAATAGGTATTATACAAAGGTTCTATTTTCTAGTTTTGAGACACGCAACCTCAGGGACTTTACCTTAGATTCATGCACATTACAAAGCTCATGAAAAGGACATGATATGCAGTATTTCTCAATCTTATTTAACCCATAATTTTTCCATAAAGAATTTCACAGAAATAATATTTTGAGAAATACTAACAGTAAATATAGTATATTTAATTCAACAAAAATGGGCTGTTAGGGCCCGTGAGACAGCTCAGTGGACTAAGCACCTGCTTAGGCAAGCACAGGGACCAGGGTTCGATCCTCAGCATGACATGCCAAGCCGGCCGTGCCCCCTGGCACACTTTGCCAATGACCAACTCTGGGTGTAGTGGCACATGCCTATAATCCCAGTGCTGGGGAGACTGAAAACAGCAGAATCACTATGAGTCCAAGCTGCATAGGGAGCCCTGTACAAAATACAAAAGGGGGGGCATGACTTTCTAGATGTTTGTGATATAAAGATAAATAAGATAAAATTCTTCTTTTGATGGAGTTTAAATGACTTAAATTATTTAACTAATACTAGGTTAGCGACTGAGTGCCATGAAAGATACATAGGAAAAAAAAAAAAAAACAAGCAAGAAAGATACATAAGAATGAAGGAAAGGATATATTCTTGGATTGAGGGAAGGCTGAAAGGTCTCTGAGCAAGTAACTTTCAAGCCGAGGCCTAGATGACCAGGAGCCAGGTTAGGAAAGTAGGAAGGGCCTTGGACAGGGAGTAGAGTGAATGAACTTGGAGTCTGAGAGGAACAGGAAGTTCCAAGTGCCTACAGTAGCACAAGCCATGAGGATAGATGTAATGAGTCAGAAAGAGAGATGGAGGCTAGGTTATATACAGTGTCGGGGGCAGACTCTGGAAGAAAGCTTGAACTATTCTAGGTGCAGCAGGAACACATGAAGGGTTCCAAGTGGGAGAGGGACAGGGCAACAACTGAGTTTTAAAAATTCATCTGGCCAGGCATAGTGGCACACATTTATAATCTCAGAACTCAGGAGGCTGAGACAGAAGGAATGCAAATTCAAACCCAGCCTGAACGGCTTACTAATTTAGCAAGACTTTATCACAAAGCAAAAAAAAATGACTAGGGATGTAGTCAGTGTGAAGGCCCTGGATTCCATTCCCAGTACAGAGAAAATAAATAAATAAACAAAAATGCTAGAAAAACAATCAAGTGGTATGTTAGCTATAGTTTCTTCTGTCACCTGCACTGATGTGGTTCTACCACAACTCCTAAGAGCTGTCTACATCTCCATCTGCTACGGCCAGGCGAGGACCACATGTTCCTGTCACTGCTCTTCTGCTGCTGCCAACCTTACTCTAGGAGTAAGCCAGAATTAATATAATTCAGTTAATCATTTGAAAAACACTATCTTTTGATTTTTAGTCATGTATACTTACAAAATTCTCACATGTCTCTTTCATTAATAAGCATTATTATAAAATGTAAAGCAGAGAGCCATATGGGGCTTATATACTTTGGGTTCTTGCTCTCTCTATATTATATACATATATGTATTAAAATAGATCTAAATAGATAAAGCTGCCATCTAAACAAATGAATAACTCTAAAAGAACTTACGTAGGATGAGTTTGCGTTTCTTTTGTTCCGAGTGAAGGAAGCTACTAAGGTAGAAGACGACGGGGAGGAAGAGTATGAACACAGAAACAGCAATTACAGGCACTGTGTCACTGCAAGGGACCGAGCAGTTGAAAGTTCGACTCCAGAGTTTTCGAGTAATATTCATCTGGGAACAACAACAAATGATATTCTATTTTGCATTTGACTTGACTTCAATTTCTTGTAATATTTTGTTAATGTCTAAACAGGCATTCAGAATTTAAACTAAATATTTAGCCTTAAAAACATACTGCAGGTTGAGGACAAATTTCTTTTGCCAGGGAAATATAGTAACTTATAATTAGTTATTGTTTATATTTAAATGCTAACTAGAGTATAACAGAATGTCAACCACTCGGTAGCTTTCAAACAGAGAATGCATGAGTAGGAATGCAGTTAACTCTGTTTCTTTCCTTAAAAATTATTTATTAAGAGCCTGATACAAACTACATACTATTCCAGGCAACAGGAATAGAACAGTAAAAACAAAACTCCATGGTATAACTAATTGAAGAGCTTTATACCATCCTGAATGTACAAAGTACCAGAATGGTCCACTACAGTTTCTGAGATGCTGTGATAATTCACATTTGTTATTCTAAACTTTTGATCTTAACAATTTGATTTCTAATTCTTTACTTCGAGCCAATGTTTCCTCTAATTCCTCAATTTTCAGGCATCATATTGCCTACAAAGGCATGATCGCCATCTAGTGGTGCCCCATGTAAAGGCAGGATATCATAGGGAAAAAAGCTTGAGCTTGACCATCCAACCAATACATATTTATTAAAACTCACTATAGGTCAAGACATTAGCTTATATACTGAATGAACAAAAACAGAATAGGTCCTGTTCCTTATGTGGCTTATATTTTAGTTAGTGGTGACATGCTATAAATGAATAAACACTGACAGACTAATAGATATAAAGAAATAATGTGATAGGGAGTGACTGAAAAATAGCTTTTGAAAAAATTACAGTAAAACTTAGAAACTTCTTTAACAAGTATACAAGAAATTAAAATGTAAACATGGAACAATGGCCACACCTTATGAAGTACCTGATTTTCATTTTAGTTTGCTAGGCTAGAATATTCTAAAACCGTGCTATTTTATAACTATTATAATTATTTCTGATTGAAGACAACACACACAGATGCCAATGTACCGCCGAAAGAGATACTGAGGATATATTCAACAACACTGCAAAATGTGCACCTCATCAGAAGGAAGGTACTTACTGCATCTTCTACATCAATGCATAAGTGTGTTCCAGGTTCAGCCTTATTCTCCAGTTCATTCATTTTTTGCATTTCACTGTACAGATTACTTAGATTTTTGTATTTTTCACGGCAGCTTTTGCACACCTCTGAGTAATTTTTTGGTGGTAGAAGACTGTGTGTGCTCCCCTAAAATGACAAAGGCAGATATAATACAAAGAATAAAAACTATACACAACATCTCTGTCACACAAACTGCCAACATTTGACCTCCTGGTACACGTGACAACATGGTGTGCTAAAGTGCTGAGCTGGGATGCTGGGCAGGACACCCTCATAAGGGTTGGAGGCCTGGTATGTGAAGCATATGACAAATATTTGGCACTTTTTTTATGTATTTGGTTGTTACAGGGGCTCACTATGTAGCTCGGACTCGTCATGATCCCTCCTGTTTTCAGCCTCCCCAGTGCTGGGATGACAGGCGTGTGCCACTACAACCCTGGAATCTGGCCAAGTCAGCCCACCAGAGCGGGGCTAATGCAGCATGTGGTACTGGAAATCGGGCAGCATGTGGTACTGGGGATCGAATTGTGGTCCCTGAGCTTCCTAAGTGTGCCTAAGCAGGTGCTTTAGTCTACTGAGCTATCTAGCCAACCCTGGAACTTTCTAAGGTGTCCTCAAATTTTGTCACTGTTACATGAAGTTATGTGCCAAGCTAGCAACACAAAAATACCAGATTTCTTAAGTTATCTCATCATTACATACCTGTACTTCTCTATCCTACTTTCCCTGAAAAAATATGAAACACATCCTTGCCAGTGATAACTTCATCAAATTTACTTGACAGAGGGAAGATTTTTATAATGGAAAGAGAAAGGGGAACAAAATTGTGGCCCCATAAATTTTTTTTGTCACAGGCTCATAATCTAGGCCTAAGTTTTTAACATACTCCTACAATCCCAGCACTTGGGAGGCTGAGGTAGGAGCATCTCTGTGAGTCTGAGGACAGCCTGGGCTACATAGTAAGTGAGTTCAAGGGCACCCTGAACTACATGGCAAGACCCTGTCTGAAACAGAACAGAACAGAATCTAATCCAAGCCTTTCTAGTCAACAAAAAGGGACAATAAAAAAGAAATGAATAGTCCACAATATGGGTAAAGATAACATAAATTAGTAAATTAGAAATCTCAATTTCTTACACTTTCAAAACACCTACCTTTTAAAGAAAAAGCTTACAATGCTGGTTTCTATTTACTTTTTTCTTTCTTTTTTTCTTTTTTTCTGCAGAACCGGGGATTGAACTCAGGCCCTTGCGCTTGCCAGGGAAGCGCTTATTCCACTGAGCCATCTCCCCAGCCCCTCTATTTACTTTTTTCTTTATCATATAGCATAGAGAAAAGACATGAACTCAACAACAGTGTGCTTTCCTAGTATGCAGCAGGCCCGGGGTTCAATTCCGAGCACCACACACACACACACAATTTTAAAAGTTAAAAAAGATTTTATAGTATGAGATATAATACTCCTAATTTAACAAAAATCTGCATTCCAGGTTTCAGATTACTTCAATTAATTATGAGTGTGGAATTCTATCTTGGTCTAGGAAAGAGTAAGTAGATATTATTTGATTTTGCAAACTGAAAGAGAACTATAAATTCAAATATATTTAAAACTTTTAAGATAAAAAGATGTTTAAATTGACAGATGTGGTGGTACATGCCTATAATCCCAGCAGTTGGGAGACTGAGGCAAGAAGACTGCTGTGAGTTCAAGGGTAGTCGGCATTACATGTGAGTTCAAGGCCAACCTGCACTTACATAGCAAGACCCTATCTTGAAACCCACTGCCCCGCAAAAAAGGTTTAAGTGCAGAACATGAAACACAGAGGTACTGACACAAATTTTAAAGATAATGTCCATGTGGAAAAAACCTTTTTCATGTGTCACAAATATCATACGTCATTTAAATAACTGATAAATCTAATAAAATTAAATTTTTGTGACAAAGGAAAAATACAATAAAAAAGAAATGAACTAGGAAAAATGTGCAACTAACATTGCATGAAAAGTGCTAATTTTCTTCATATTCATCTCTTACCATGCTAGTCTCTGAAGCCATAAATTGCCTGTTAAGTTTCAATGCCAAAATTCAAAGATCAAAGATGGAGGAGACAATAAAAATCTGTGAGGTAGAATTCTTGACGGCTACCCTGATATCATAACTCAATACTTAAAGCTACCTTACTAAACAGTGCCTTTTAAAGTATATGAAATAAAAAAATAAAATAAAATAAAGTATATGAAATATAATTTTAAAATATTGAGGCAAAAAGTGAGTGTCCCATAGACAGAATCATACTGCATTGCAAAATACTTTATTACATAAACAAAATCTTGGTGTATTACATTGTTTTAAGGGCCAGTGAGATAGCTCAGCGGTCTAAAGCGCCTGCTTAGGCAAGTGTGCAGGGACTGCGGTTCAATCCCTGGCACCACATGCTGCGCCAGCCCTGACCCCAGGGCAGGTCACAAAAAAAAAATTAAAATTAAAATTAAAATTAAAATTAAAATTAAAAATAAATAGGGGCCGGGGAGACAGCTCAGTAGAATAAGCGCTTCCCTGGCAAACGCAAGGGTCTGAGTTCAATCCCCAGTTCCGCTAAGAAAAAGAAAAATAAATAAATAAATAAGTAAATGTCTCAGTTAACGTTCTTACATCAATCATCTCATCAGATCCTCACTACAAAATATTGGAAGCAAGCAAGCTAAATAATATTATCCCTACTTTATAAGAGAACTGAAATTTTAATGATTTGGAGCCAGGGAGATAGCTCAGTGGCATAAGTGCCTGCCTGGCAAGTGAAAGGCCCTGAGTTTGATCACCCGTACCATACACACACACACACACACACACACACACACACACACACACACAAATTATAATGATCTGTAACTAGAAGAATGAAAAAGAAATACAGATTTACTAAGCCCTCTATATCATAAGTATGCACAAATATCAATAAATAATGCTATAAAAGTTTATAATTACATATTATTCATTTGTATAAGAGCATTTTTATTTCAAATATATTTAAAATACCTGAAGGTTACTCTCAAAGCAGGTCAAGGTTTGATTAAACAGGTTGAGGAAAGATACTGTAGCGTTCGATAATTCTTCACTGTTGTTTGTTAAACAATCTGTTTTTTTTAAGAAAAGTGTATAAATATTTCATAAGCAACAATCATTTACTTATTGTTATTCTCTGATCTTAGGGACAAAACCTAAGGCCTTGTACATGCTAGCTACATCTGTTGTCATTTGTTTCTCAAGCTCTGTTTTTACACCACAGTAATTCTTTACTCCAACAAACATGAAGTATTCTACATAAGAACATGTTCCAAGGACACTCAGAATATTTCTTTTCCCAATTAAACATTTTTCTCATGAAAAATTAAAATAGTCACATACCCACTGTTAAATAAAACTTTAAGTGGCAACCAGACTAAGACAAAAAGATCACAAACTCAAGGCCAACCTGGACAACCTTAGCAAGAACCTATCTTAAAAGAAAAACTAAAAATGGACTGGAGATGTAGCTTAGTGGCTGAGTACTTGCTCAGCATGCATGAGGCCCGGGGTTTACTTCACAGTGCTGCAAACAAAGAAAATTTTTAAATTGATCTTTAATGGTGAAAAAGGTCTTAAATCATGAACATCAGCTATTAAATGTTTCCTTAATAAGGCTATTGAGCTATAAGCCTGCTTATCCTACATTAATTTTACCTAAATTATTATGCCATTTTCATCTTTGTTTGTCTCAAAGCTAGGCCTCTACCAACTTCAGTAATGGTCATTTTTTTTGTACTTAACAAGGTAATTTAATTTGCTCTTTCAGTCAGGAGTTGAATAGAGAATTTTGCCTAAAACAGTGACAAATGGGGCCTCTAGCGAAGTACAGAAATAATTAAAATTGTTTTATATATTTTTATAAGTCTTACATAACTGGTATTCTTTAAGATTTATTTTAATTTACTTATTTTGTACAGGGTCTTGCTATGTAGCTCAGACTTCTTGTGATCCTCTCTCAGCCTCCCCAGCCCTATGATTATAGGCATGTACCACCACACCTAGTTTTGGTGGCTGGCATGGCATGCAGTACCAGGGATTGAACCTGGGTCCTTGCGCTTGCCAGGTAGGTGCTTAGACCGCTAAGCTATCTCCCCAATCCACTAAATGGTATTCTTCTGCAACTTGCTCTTCCTGCTTAGCAGCAGCTCAACCTCATTTATCCTTTTCATCATCTATGTATGAATATACCACACCTTTTCTTTTTCTTTTTTTTTTTTTTTTGGTACTAGAAATTGAACTCAGGACTTTGTGCTCGCCAGATAGGCACTGTGCCAGAGAGCTATATCCCCAGTCCATGTCACATTTTTTATCTATTCTCCTCTTGAAAGTGAACCCACTTTTCATCTTCCCTTCATCTTTTCCTGCCCCGTGGTCTCAGCCTGCTATCTCCAATGCAGACCAACTGCCAGGCTTCAGGTCCTAGAATTGGTGGTCACCATCACCATCTCAGCTCCTCAAACCCTTGTCCTCTTTTCTGTCCATATACCCACAAATTTCCATTGCTTTCTCTACTCTTCATTCTGGTTATGGAATACTATTACCAAAAATTATAAAATGGTATTGAAGGAACCTGATTCAACTCATGTTTTCTGATCTCAAGATCATGAAACAATCTCATAGATGCCCTGCTCATTGTCCCACAAGGATATTCTAGTCCCCAACCCTATTCTGTCCTTAATTTTAACACACAGGTTTACATTATATCCGCCTTACTCAGGAAGCCATAGCTGTCTGACAGGCTCTTTCTCAACTAGGAGTAGAGAGAAAGCATAAAAGTTATTGCAACAATTCAGAAGAAAAGCGGCAATGCAAACAATTTAATGGAGAAAATAAAATGAAGCTGATGTAGTGATGCATGCATATAATTACAGCATTTGGAAGGCTGCGGAAGGAGGGTTAGAAGTTCAAGACAAGCCTGGGCTACCTAGCAAGTTCAAGGCCAACCCAAACTAATGAGACTTTGTCTCAAACAAAACAAAACAAGATGACAGTAAGAGAAAACAAAACTGAATGGGCAGACACTAGAGCATGATGATAAAGGATAGTGCACACACTAGGAGAAAGGACAGTCATGGCGGTTACAGCAAGGAAGCCTGACACAGACTCAGTACTTGCTATGCTCAAGTACGATGCTTATACTTGGAACACATTTACTCACTGAATTATGGCAATGATTCTGTGAGACAAGAAGTATCATTACCTCCATTTAAAAACAAGGAACTGATATTTAGGCAAATTAAGACAGCTGCCCCAAGAAAATAAAACCAAAAAAAAAATGCTGGTTTGGGATTCAGAATGCATCTTGAGCTTGCACTCTCAAATGCTGCAAAATAAATAACACATTCATGCCTACACTTTAAGCTATTAAAAAGTTCAAGCCTCAGGGTCATATACATGTCTGAACTCTTCCCTCCAGCACGCAGAGACATCTTACACCACACGGGGTTCAGACCTTCCCCATCAACTGGTCAGAGGGGGCACTAAAAGGAAACGTAACCTAGTGAACAGTGCAGCAGCAATTAGCACTTGGAGGTTCCTCAAAGCTAGAAACATCAATCCCTCTGGGTGGATGAACTACAAAAGGGTACTGTGCCTGCAGAAGCCAGCTAGCAGGGGCTACCTGCTCGGGTCCCCCTTCTGCCCCTCTCTAGAACAGGAGCTTTCTTTCCCCCACAAAATATACTCTGCTACAAGAAGAAAGAAGGAAGAGAGAAGGAAGAAGGAAGAAGCAGCAGCAGCCACAGCAGGAGAAGGAGGAGAAAGAAGGAGAAGAAGGAGGAGGGAGGGAGGGAGGGAGGGAGGGAGAAGAAGGCAGCAGCAGCAGCCACCAGCTAGCATTCAGCCCATTCGCACTTACCACCTCGCCCTCCCCATGCAAGGCCCACCTGGTGAACCTTTTCCTAGATTCTTTCATCTTAGAACTCACATGCTCTACACTTTCTGCACCTTCACTTTCTCAAAGAATGTTAGTCTCATTCCATTCCACTACTACCAAAACAAAATACAACCGATTTGCTATGAGTCCCTTTTAAAGCTAGCTTACCACCATCATAAAGTAGCCTGGAATTCTTAGGGGTGAGGCAGAGTAGGTATAAACACAATTACACACATGCAGAATATCAGTATATTAGGATAACAAGTTTGAGACGGTTATTAGTTTTTAAATTTTTTTTGGCGGAACTGGGGATTGAACTCAGGCCCTTGCGCTTTCCAGGGAAGCGCTTATTCTGCTAAGCCATCTCCCCAGCCCTGGTTATTAGTTTTTGTAGCTGACAGTTTGTAGGGAAAAGCTGAAGAAGCTCACTTTTATCCATATAGTTGTACATGTGCACTATAATGAACCCTGTCATAACTGACGCACAGTGTAAGGGGGAGAGGAGTGTGCATCTCTGCAGGCCTGCAATAACAAAGCACACTACTAGCAGGGAGCAGTGTGCTCAGTGAAATAAGCTAGGCACCCAAGCTTAAGTATTGCAAGGCTTGTCTTATATAAAAATTCAAAATGTGCATATATATGTATACACACACACACACACAGGGAGAGAACAAAAGATAAAATTTCAAATAATTACCCAGATTATTTCATTGTTTCATAAATATTTTAAAATATATGCTAATTTGTTTTATTTATAGTAGTTTCTCTTTGTTCACTGAGAGTTTTGTCCTTTTATTTGTTTCTTCTTTGCAAGAGATTCTCTAGTTATTTTGTTGTGAAATTTTAATTTTTTCATAGAAGGAATATATATTCTTTATTATTATTTACTTGTATTACATTAAAATAACAATTTCTATGTGAGATAAATTACAGTAATTTTTAAAAGTAATAAAGATTCTCTGAAGAACAAAAGGACTCAATCTTTTCTGTTTTACTGATAGTCATTTACTTTTTGCTTAAAATAATTTGAAAATTAAACTAAAAGGTATTATAAACTGGTCATTTACATAAGTACTGTATTAATGCAATACCATTAAAGTTTTTCAGTAATTGTTAGCGCAATGGTATTAAAAGACATAAAGGAGTTCAGGTATGTAATGGGGTTAAAGTGTCATTATTAAAGAGGACTGACTTTCTGATTCAAAATAAAACCCAGTAAATTCTTCTTTTATCCTTCTGTAGAAATTGCGAGCAGAAGGTTAAACACACTGAGGGGCTATGTATTTTAGAAATTAGTGCCATACCAGATCTTAGTAATAACAAAGCTTCCTATAAACACTAAGTGAAGTGGTCACTGTGAATTTCCCTCATCTCAGATAATCAATGGAGCCCCACTGAGGATGGATTAACATAGCTTCTGTCTCAGCGAGGGCTCCAGCTTCAGCTTAGGAGACATTCTTACATGTGGCAGGATTCCAGCCAGGACCTCACATGCTAACCCTATTAAATCATCCTAACAGGAATTATGTGCTTTTAAATATAGTTTTTGCCATCTATTAGGGGTTTATATGAAGAAGTTAGCTGTTTTCAAAACTACTTTTATAGAAAACACAATCACTAATTCCTGAAAAGTAGGTCAAGGTTCAGAAAATACAGAATAAACTGGGGAACTCTGTAATCAAGCTTAATAAGAAAACTAAGACATTTGAAATTATAAGATACAAATAAATGACTCTAACACTTAGTAAGTTTCCATTCAGATAAATTATTGGGATGAATTCTGGTTTACTGACCAGTAAATTTTACTGTTGATTTTTTAATCATTAAGACATACATTATATGTACCAACTTAAAGTTAATTTTCCATGGGGGCTGGGGAGATAGTTCAGTAGACTAAATGTTTGCTTGGCAATCACAAAGGCCTGAGTTCAATCCCTGGTTCTGCCAAAAAAGAAAAAAACATTAATTTTCCTTTGATGAATCAAAATGTACATCAAAATTACACAATAGCTCAATAGCATCATTATGCTCATAAATGATTATCCAAATCACTGTAGATAGGGGTTGCTCAAAAAAAATTGTGTTTTCAATGAATAAGAACAAAGATCAGAACTCATTAATTTGGGGTTCATCTTATTATAGTAGTACTTCATGTTGTATATTGTTTACCACAGATCTAAAACAGTTTACAAT